AACCCCCTTCCCTGGCCCCAGCCCCCAGCCCAGGGTTTCTTGTGGGGGGGTCAGTTCCCCTCCTTATAGACTGGGCTTGCCCCGCCCCCTCCGTTCCCCCTTTGTCAGTCAACCCTCACTGCTCCAGCTAGCCCTGCTCTCTAGAGCAGACAGCACAGCCTGCCCAGCCCAGGGCTGCAAAATGCTGGGCTGCTGGAGGACCATGATTTAACTTGAACCAGGAAGGAGTCTGGGACAGAAGTTTCATAAACCGGTTTGACCCAAAACAGTTAAGTCTGATACTGCATTCAATCAGGTTTATCTTTAAACCAGTTTCAGCCAGTTTGAAACTGGTTTATCTGCATTGAACTTCTATTCTGTTACTCGTTTAAATCAGTTTCTGATCACTTAAACTGGTTTATGTGTAATGAAGTTACTGTAATTGATAAAATGGATTGAGCACAAAGTGAAGTCTAATCCAGAGCCTGATACTAACCTGTTATGTGGCCTTTTGGGAAATCCCTTAGACCCCCAACACAAAAAAGTAGCTAAATGCATGCTTAAGTCCAGTCTTGATGACTAAAGTTTCTGAGTGCACAATGATCTTTAGACATGTCCAAAGGGCTATCCAAAGTAGGGTTGTTCTTCTGATAGTCTTACGCAGCTCTCCTTCTCACATTCTGTCTCTAAATTGGAGTTGATAAAGGTCTGTAAACACTTGGAGATGCACAGAAAAGGCACTGTATTGTATAGTATTAGTAATAGTAGCTCATGAGTCTGCTGATTTTTCCTTTTAAAAAGGAAGTTTGTTTGAAATGAGTTTGTTTGCTCTTACACAGTATTCTAGTTGCACACCATCTACAACTAATGTCTGTGCAAGGTTACATCAGTCTGTCACAAGTATCCAAAGTAAAGTTCTCAGATTTATTCCATTTTGTTTAAGGAAACTGCAGGAGGTTGTACCAAAGCACATTTCAAAACACAGTCCTTCTCAAATTAATGCCATGTGTGTAATACAAATCCAAAACAAAGCAATTCAGCTTCCATGCACGTCATCCAAAGCCCAGAGTAAATTGAAAGTTTCTAATAGACTCCAGCCTGCCTTGGATCAAGGCATATTTCCAGAGACACTTACATTACAAGATGTTGACCATTCTTTCTATACTTTGCAAAATAATGCTCACATTGCAGCTGACAACATGCTCAAAAAGGATGTTCAGAGGACAAAGGTGCCAGCAGGATTTACATTGCATTTACATTTAGACAGTGAAGGTGAAAAAAAATAAAAGGTTAAGAGATTCTGCTAGACTTCAATACCAACATCTGCCGAGATGTAATTGCATATTTAGCCACTGCTCACTACAGAAAATACACCTTGTTTCTTTAAGGCGATATGAAGCATATTAGTAAAAGGAGAGATCAGCCTGAGAGACTAGCATCTTTGAGATGGAATCACAGGATACTTTGTATGGCAAATGAGTTCAGACATGGAATACAGACAAGAGACGCTCTACTCCAATAGCAATCTTTCAATTTACCATGGTACTTTGCATGGGTCAGTGGATTTCCTGAGAATCATTAACTTGGTAATTACCCTTGGAAACAGCAATGAAGGACTCATAAAAAAGTCATGTGATTTCTATGCTGTGTGTTAGAGTGCACTCAAGCTCTCCAGTTTGTACTTTATCATAATCGTGGAAGGATTTCACTCTCTGTTTGGCTTCTAGGTTGTACAATACTGGTCACGCTACAATATTGTACTGAAGACTGACACTGATAAGTCCTGGAGGCTCACAGCTGCATACTTAGCTTAACTCCTGCTTTATTTTAGAAAAGCCACTGTGGTCACCTGGACATGAGAATTTGGAAGCTAAGCATGAAGTCTGATGTATTTCCTAGCCTGTCAGCATCTACATTTCTCTTCACAGCAATGCTGGGGGTTCAACTTTGGGTGCAAACTGTAAGTTCTGGGATGCCTCCCTTTTTTTCCCCCAAGATGTTCTTAGTAGGAATGGTTCCCTTTTTGGTATAAGGAACTAGGCATTTCAAAAAAGCTTATGTGAAATAAGTGTCCAAATCTTAAAATCCCATCCTTGGGCCAGATACACCTACTTGGAGCTTCCTGCAGCTATTTGTATAACTGGAATTTAGGATGGAGTTCTATACTCAAATCTTTAAGTGATTCACACTAGATTGAACACCAAAACTTGTGTGCCTAAATCCAACATGCACGTCCATTTGGCACTGTACACAGTCCCACATAGATGTGTGCACCTGTCTGAAATGACACAGAACGTTCACTTTGCCAGCAAATTTCAAAATGGGATCTGGAACAATTCTGGAGCAAAGCTCTGCTTTTGTCTTTGGAGAGAAACATGCCATTAATCATCTTCAGAGTAGGATTAATACCATGTTTTTAGTCTGTACCCTGCTGCCTCACAGGTAGCCTGTGAATTTATGAAGACTCACATCACCCCCCACCTTTACCCCCACTCAAAAAAACCCAAAAAACAAAACAAAACAAACCCCATGAGATGCCACCAGTTCAGTGTAGGGAGAGTATAAGGTGCACTGACTGTGATCTAGAGACAGTTTGGGGAGTTGGACAAGGCCAGGCAGGGGAGGGTACATCATTGTATGTACTAGATTTGCATTCCTGGGGAAGTAAAGGAAGGCAGAGGGAGAGAAACACACCACCTGTGTTTGTGAGAAGACAAAAAAGAGAGAGAGAGAGAGTCAGTGTCTGACTTGCTACCTTGAGAGATGTGAAGTATGTGCTCAAAGTGGGTTAAAACTAAAGTCATGCATAATATCAGCAACCCAGCAGATTGTGCTCATTCCCTGTGAGCATAGCAGTCACCCTGGACATAAGGAATTTGGTACATATACATGCTGGACTCTGCTGTGCTCAGAAGCCTCACACCCTTTACTGAAGGTGCAAAGTACAACCCACCAAGTACAAGGCCCACCACCAGCTGGTAGCTCCTTCTCTCATGCTGCACAAACTTTTCCATAACCGTCCCATTGGCCAATCCCCACATTCTTGTGCTTGATTAGGTCTTTCTGCAGCACATCTTGCTATGCTGTGTTCAAGTCTACAGGCACTGGTGAAATCCTCTGCATAAGTTATGCCTGAAGGCAGATATCTCCACTTTCTCCTCCACAAAGAAGTGAGCATGATGACAGGTTGTGTTTATTTTCCTGCTGTGGCCAGACAGGACCCACAGGGGCTCTCCTAGAAGGCTTGCTGTGGTACGGTGGACAGTGTAGCACCAGTAGGACAGTATTAGGCTGACCAGTCACAGATTTTCACCTAGCCAAAATGTGTGCCCAATCAGCACACAGGTATCCAACCCAGTGAAAGTGGAGGCTGAGGATACTGAATTGCTCCAGGAGCAAGGCACATCATGGGTTGCAATGTGTATTTGGCTACTGCTGTGGGCTGGCTCTTGAGCTAGTGTACTTCCCTCCATTGTCTGGCTGTGATCCCAGACTAGATTCTTCAAAAGCAGTTAGCAAGTGGTGGCACCCACATGTCTCTATATCCAAGAAAGATGATGTGAGGCTTCTGCTTACCTGTCTATGTCCATCCTTAGTATAGGCTTATGGTCAATCTTCATGGCTGCATGATGCTGGAAGAATGCTAGATGCACCACAAATATTGTGTGTTACTTCCCTATCCATTAGAGGTTTGGGAGGCCCAGTTAATGTTTTCAACATGGTACAAGTGCAAAATAGCTGTATACTTTCAAATATGAGGTCATATAGAGCCTTCACTCAGCATTTAGCAATCCCATCTGGTGCTGTGTAAGGACTGCACAACCAAGCTAAATTAACTTGAAAATGACTGCATCTCCTGGTGCACAGAGGAAGAGAATTCCCAAATTCTGTTCATTCTGAATCCAGATTTAGATTTTTAAAATGAGATTAACAGTGAGCTCCACATTTCAAACCAGACAAGAATCTGGGAATGTAATGGATTTCCTCCTGGCCCAGCATACTATGAAGATGTGCATCTGGGAATTATTACAAAGACTCTAAACTGGCTAGGAGTCCACTCAGAGCTATGAGATCATTTCCTAAGGGAGCCTCATTGGTGAGAATTAAATTATGGCCTTACTTTCTTTCTGAAAGGACAAATCAATCCTGCATTTAATTTCCTCATACTAACACAGCAGTTAGTGTACATTTTTGCACTGTTATCTTACAACTTAAGCCCAGCTCTGAAAAAAAAAGGCCAAGAACAAAGTTCAATGTGGGGGGGGGGGAGGGGCAGAGTAGTTTACAGAAAGGAAAGGAAAGGAAAGGAAAAACAAAGATTTGAATGTTTCAGTTAGGACACAATAAATTCCAAATTGGTCTCTCTCCTTCTTAGTGTTTTACCTAAGTCACTTATCTTCATGTTATAATATTTCCTGCTATGGACCACTGTTTCCAGAGGATGTCAAAGTGGATTAAGTAATAAAAGAATATCATCGTCATATTTATAGGTCCCCGTAATTGTAACTGCTTTTAGTGCCCTTTAAAAAGATGAGTCTCTGCCCTTAGAAGGCGTGACCCTATGAATTGCTGAGGACTAGTCTCAACAAATAATGAATTCACCTCACAATATCTAGCCTTCCAGACATTGGCTTTTCCTGCATTGGAGTCAATGGCAAAATGGCCACCTGTTTCAATGGGACAGACAAGGAAGTGAACATGGCATCAGTGGTACAGGGTGTCAGTTCTAAATTCTTGATCTGTGACTTGGAAATTGTAGCTCTCAAAGTGATGGGAGGCCCATTCTCCCTTCAGCTTCGAAGTGCCTGGGTAAACAAATGAAGTGGCAAATGACTAATAAGGTTAGGCAGGTTTAAAACTAAGGACATGAAGAAGAGAAGAAAGGTATGAAGTGGAAGAAGAAATACATAAAAAAAAAATTTTTAAGGATGAAGTCACAATATCACTTTTGTTTTTTCAGGAATAAAAACCATGCAAGGCAGAGAGCTCAAATGTACAACAAGAAAGACCATAGGAGACTGTTTTGCAAACTCATGCTACATTTTACTTTGTTTCCATTTTGAATTAGTGCTTTAAAAGTTACACCAACTGCATTGTACATTAGATATTACAACTTCTTAGTTAATGGATCTACCCAGGATAATTAGTATGAACTAAGAGCTCTAGCTCTCCTTTGTTATTCCAAGCCAGGATTCTCAAAAAGTTGAGACCTGACACAACAAGATGTACAAGAAATATGGATAAACACTGCTAGTATCTCTCAGAGTGTGTGGTGGTATTTATGTTTCATAGATCAGGAATGTTGGATATTGCTGTAGAACTTCCATTACGTTGCTCTCTTCTTGTCCTGCCCATTAGCCTGGGATCCCTATGAAATGAAGATGCTCCTATTTAATGTAATAATTTATAATATAAAACTGCATCAGGTTTGTAGGAGACTCCATGGAATAAAAGAAGAATTAAAACAGAGTATTTAGAAGGGATTGATTTTTCCAGTTTCAAAATCGGTGCTGCCAATTTCATACTTAAAGAATCACTGTACTGGGGCTACAATGAAGAGCAGTAGCATAGCAGTTCTTACCAAGATTTATGATACCTTATTCTGAACACCATGTTACATGAGTCCTGGGTTTTTGTGGGGACCAAATATATGGCCACACAAGTAGTTAGGGATGGTCCTACTTTGAGCAGGGGCATGGACTAGATGACCTCCTGAGGTCCCTTCCAACCCAATTTTCTATTTCCTATTCAGAGCACAGCTTATGGGATGCAAGTAGGATATAAGGATATATTTTCAGGATAAATTAGGATATATTTTCACCCTAAATGCATGACAAAAGAAAGTTTTGATTCAACTAATCAACACGCCATAACTCTAGATAAACATCCTAACTTTTCAATAGAGAGATGGCTTCTATTAAGAAAAACTGTTAGCAGGAAATGCAATTTAATTTCAGCAACTTTTCTATTCACCCACAGTAACAAATCTCAGTCATATTGTGGTTAGAAATCAGGAAATCTATATCACATACAGAATGACTGATGATTGT